GGGCTCCTCGCGCGCCCTTCGCACCTCCGGGCACCTACAGGGCGCGCTGTCCTTGGCCGCGTCGCCCACGCCGGAGGGAAACTCCGCGGAACCGGGGGCGAACCTCGTTCCCCGTGTTCCGTGACTCCGATGCCGCACACGCAGAACGCAGCACAATGCCACGCTCAATGGCGCTACAAGAGGAGTTGGGTGGCGCACTGTGTTTGCGGCAGGAGTCAGCGGCAGCTCGGCCATGTGTTCGCGCAGGCAGCAGTGCGTGGCGGCGACACACACTGTCATCCCGGGCAGAATTGAACCCCAAACACCCTCTGTGATTGCTGCTCAGATCCTTTGTTGCGTCCCAAACAAGCTCCTCTGGTCTTTGGCTGAGGATTTGGTTATCCCTGCACCCTTAACTTGTAGCCATAATAAGACCAGGGAAGACTTTTCAGTAAAGGATTTCTCCAAGTAGAGTGGATCCCCCTCTCCTTATCCCCAGAATTCAGGTACACGAGGTTTTTCCTCAAATTGCTATTGTACTTCTGTTCACATTTTCCCCTAATGTCACATTCAGAGAGAAAGACAACAGCAGTATACCGACTCCTTTTTAAGTGGAGGCATGGAAATTGTTGGCAGGATTCTGCTAACATTCCTATCATTGTTTTTGAGGATGGCATGTTGGATTCCAAAGGTCTCTTCGTGGGCACCTATTACAAACCTATCATAGAGATACAACAGGAGCAGCCTAAATAACACACTCCACCTGCCTTTTTTGCCTGTCTGCAGAGGAAGAAAAATAAAGTTTGAGTGTCAAGAAACACACACCTCTGATTATACACCATTTGTGTCTTTGCTTGTACTTGTGGATTCTGGGTGGTTTCCTTCCTTATCTGGACTTGCCATTAGCTTTGTCACTTTAAGTGTTTGAAAAATCTGTAACTCCCACTTACATGTTATTTACACTGAGATAACCAAAACAAAATAGAATCAGAAGTGATTTGCAACTAGTTGAGCCAAGCGATAGAGGGATTTCACAGTGGAAATCCACAGGCTGATTATCACACTGCTAATCTGAGACGCCTGACTATAAGAGGCAGGTACCAGAGGCCTCCTGAGTTCTTCTAAAGGAGCATTGCCCCCATCCTGCAAGGCTAACTTTCACTCCCATCATTTTCTTTTTCCTCCCTCTTTTCTTTCCTTCCTTCCGTCCTTGGCTTGAGAGCTCATCCACATTACCAAAAATGTCACATTTACATTTTTTTCCTAGTTAAAGTTCAGTTGTAAAGAATGACTCCTGGCCCCAAATATTTGATGAAGAGGCAGCCTGGATTTTGAATTGTAAGCAGGGAGCCGTGCTTATGGTCATTACTCAGATGCCATTCTAAGGACAAATAACACTATCTGCAGTGACAGTCCTTGAACACAAAGGGTCATTTGGTTGTTCAGTGTCATCTCCCCCACCACTCCCAGGCATACTACACTGTTTTAGCAAGTGTCTAAGGTGGGAGAATCCTGCTTTGGAGAACATGAAAGCCACAGTTTAGGTGAAGGGCACAGTGAAAAGAGAAAGAGGAAAAGGAAGAGGAAACCATGAAAACTCTGGACTTCTTGCTTTGGGGCCTCAGGGTTGAGGGTCCTCAACAGGCTACTCCCACGGTCTTTGGTCCAGGTAGGGCGAAGTCAGGGAGGGTCAGTTTCAGTGTTCTGAACCCAGCTCCCAGCATTAAGTATTTTCATTTTCAGGGATGTTATACAGGGCAAGATACCTCATAAACTTACTTTCTGGAAGGCTCTGCACTTCTGTTGGAGGACTTCTCCCCAGTCAACTTGCATAGATTCCTCATTTCTTGCAGCTGGGCAGGAGACAGCTTTAGGTGCAGAGTCCTTGGGGACTCCAAGCAGCCAGAGTAGTTTCAATCCTCTAGGGGGCAGCACTAAATAAATAATGCCAATTCCACTTACGGTCATCCTTCCTTCTCTGGTGAGGCTTTCGCGTTCCAAAACTCAAAGTGGGCCATCAAACCAAGGAAACTTTAGAACAAGGCTGGGTCTGCCCCAGCCCACTCTGAGCATGATTCCACGGGTCCAGGAAGGGCTTGGAATTGCTTTAATCCAGGATTTCCAAGAACTCTTGGGAATGAAGCAAAAATCCCACATGTGCCACACGGAAAACAAATCTTTAGGGAAATTCTCCAGACTGGGACTGGCTCAGACATGCCAGCTTTGTTTTGTCTAGGCTGGAATCTCAGGGGTTTGGCTGTATTTGGTTTGGTTTCCACCAGAGGAACAACGGTGAGGAATAGGTTCCACACTTTTATGTAGGGTGGGAGTCCCCATTCTTGACTGTAGTTAGGGAAGCTTGCCTACCACCAGGCTGGTCTCAGCCCCAGAAATGGTAGGTTTATAAATGGAAACACAGAACTGGCTAGAAAACAGCTAACAGTGAAGCTGGGATTCCTGACTACACTAATCACTCACCTAGGAAGTTTCCTGTCACTAACCTTAATTGTGGAATAATGACAGATAATGCCATACAACATTCCATTCCATTGATGGGGGGAGAGATGCAGAGAAACATAAAACAGATTTGTAAATGATGTAAGAGAAAGCGGTGACTCAGCCACACCCCAGCAGAAAGTTGGGGGTTTTGGGTGTTCCCAGCTAGGTCATTCCAAACCCGAGTGTGAGTCAGAAACCTAGGGCAAATGCTAAAAATTCAGATCCCTGGTACCAACCTCCTACAGCTTGGATTCCTTAGGTCTGAAGTGGTGTCTGGGAATCTGTATTTTTTTTTAAATGCACATTTTAGGTGATTGTGGTGGGAAGCTTCACAGGCCAGCAATTGGCCTGGACCTTTGTGTAATAGTTCTGACATTTACACACAGTCTTCAATATGTGCCCCGTTTTGAATACATCTGGATAAGTGTAACTTCGCATTTCCTCTCTGGACACTTTTCAGATAGGGGTCAGAGAGGTTCTCGGAAAAACCACCAAGAATATGTCCTTAGAATGCCAGAGTGGGGGATTCCTAGTTTTACTTTATGACCTTTAGCAGCCACAACAGCCCAGATCCTGTTTGACAACACTGGAAAACTCATCTCTTGGGGACAGAAGATTTGCAGGAGCATGTTCAAAGGACTGTGGATGGGGTGTGTGGAGCTGCACCCGGCCCCATTCCCATCATCACAGTCAACCATTGGAGCTCGGTGCAGGTGCGGCTTTCCTTCGGTGTTCACCGCATTCGTTATGCTCATCAGATGCTCATGGAGGCATGATGATGCATGAGGTATGGAAGCAAGACAGATATTGAGGTCTGGGCTCCTGGGAATGCAAGATCTGAAGGCTCCAGAAGTTTCATGCGCCCAAAGTAGATACCGTCTGTCACATGGTGCCTCCCTTAACTGAGCTTTCACATCGACAAGCTCTCACCCTGGAAGGGGCAGATAGGAAGCATAATTGCGTCTTAATCTGTAATTTACCACCCTGCCCTTGTTAATGTTTAGCTACATCTGTCTCAGAACCAAAGTGTCAGTTAAAATGTAATTGGCCCTCATTTTTTATTCTCTCTCTTGTTTGACACTGAAGACCAGGTTCTGGTCAATAGATTTTTCCCCCTCTCCACTCACTTTGAAAACAATCAACATTTTTTTCAAAATCCTTGGACACTGTCTAGTAGTTTCTGCTTGACATCATCTTTGGGGGGTTCCCAGAACCTTTGCAGACGTCCATAATGTACTGAAATCCCTGTCACTCCAAACTGTGCATGTCTCTCATCTCTTCCTCAGATACGGACGCTGGGTCCGGCAGCAAGAAACCTCATGAATGAAAATAAAACAAACAAACAAACAAACAAAAAGAAAAAAACAACAGCAAAAAAGCAGTAACACATGCAGAATTTATTCAAACATCCCTGGAATCCTTGGCAAAGGGAACTAAAGAAGCCATATTGCTTCCTCCACTCTGATTAACTTTAGCAAGAGGTAGATCTCCCTTTGGTACAGAATGCATTTTTATACTTTTGGAGCTTTAGTTAATCAAAAAAAGACCCAGTCCGCCCCTTGCTTTAGAGCAGCACTCTTCAGGACAACTTCCTGCAATGACAGAGGTGTCTGTGCTTTTAAGGGTGACTACTTGACATTTAAAATGTGGCTAATGTGATTATCTGAACTTTAGGTTTCAATAAATTTTATTAAGTTAAATTTAAGTTGTGCTTACCAGCCACAATGTTGGACTGATCAGCTTTTGAATAACAGAAGACCAGAGTTGGATATTTCCGGTAGAGATCTGTAGAGATCCACCCCCTTATAAAACCAAAGATACTAAGAAGGGAACCCTAATACCTGTTGAAGCCCTGATTGCCAAGAAGTCCTTCATAGAAATGCTGGCATCTGTTCGCATAGGGAAGGGAAGGGCTAGTTCATCATACTGTATTCCTTTCTCTGCTTTTTTGCATGGCTTTTATAGAACATTCACAGGGAATCAGGGCTTTCCTAGTGACCTGTAGGCTCCTGGCCTCAGGTCCAGGACGTAGTGACAACCACAGAAAAGCAGGAAGGGCAGCAGAAACCTTGAGGTCAGGGTGGATGACTGTAGTTTATCTACAGAAGTCTGTTAGGCAGTTTGGAACCTGTCTCCTCACCTGTAGAATGAGGGATTGCTCTGGATGACTTTTACCCTTCTCTGGTTTGGGAGTTGGGCTAGAGTTCTTTCCTAATCTCATTCTCATTCCTGAGT